AGCTATCAATGCATTTGTTTGTTTCCTTGTTTTAGAAAGTTGCAAGAATGATTAGGATGCTGCTGTCTGTGCTCTTGGTCCTGGTGACCATCTCCTCCTCACTGGGAAAACCAGAGAAGCCTGTAACCAAGAAGCCGAAGCGGGTCCCCCAGACCCTGTCCAGGGGTACGAGTCTCCCCCACCAGTGACGCCCATCAGTGATACTGCGGCCAGGTTGCCGCCACTCCAGTTACGCACTGGAGTCCAGCAGTGGCACCATCCAGTGATACTCTCTCTCTCATTTCTCTCCAGGGTGGGGTGATGAACTTATTTGGGCTCAGACTTACGAGGAGGCTTTGTTCAAAGCCAAATCAAGGTAAACGTTTTTTTTTTATAGCGCTAACGAAATGTGAGATACTTTTATGACCATGCTCTAATACTGCATTAACCATATGTGCCTTTGTCATTGAAGCAACAAGCCCCTGATGGTCATCCTTCATCTAGAAGATTGTCCTCATAGTCTGGGTGAGGTACCATAACAAACCCTTATAGCATATTGAATGAGCCCCGTTAACTATTTTGCTAAAGCAGTACAGCATTGTCTTGTCAGTGTTGTCTATAGTCGACAGAGATGGGCCCTTCTGTCAAAAGGCAAATGCATTTTTATAAGTTCATCATTTTATAGCCTGTGAATTTTTGAATGTTGTTATTAAATAAAATGTTTCATGTTGTTTGTTTGCATTTAGCTTTGAAGAATGTATTTGCAAATAACAAGGAGATCCAGAAGATAGCTGACGAGGACTTCATCCTCTTGAACCTCATGGTATGTTATAATGCATAAAGTTCATGAAAAGTATGAAAAATATGTAACAAATACTTATGAATGAGACTTACTGGAAGTTTTAGTGATTCAAAAATGAAAATGTATATAACAAATTCCAAATGGAATGAACTGCTTCCTGTTTTTAGTGTTAATAGAATTATACATGAAACTGATTCATTAATAAAGATTTTCACTCTTATATCAGTATGAAACTACCGACAAGCACCTCTCTCCTGATGGCCAGTATGTCCCTAGAATCCTTTTCGTGGGTAAGCAATAAATCTGTCTTTAGTCGCCATGACAATGTCCAGTGAAACTGTATAGTAAACAATTTGAAAATGCGACAAATGATTTTGCTAACTTGTTAACAGCAGACTGCCTTTCAAGTAAGCTTGATATACCAGTATTCCTTTTCTAAAGTAATTTCTGTCTTGTGCACTCTCTCCAGACCCATCCCTTACCGTCAGAGCTGACATCACAGGAAGATACTCGAACCGTATGTACGCATACGAGCCATCTGATTTGGAGCTCTGTGAGTATCACCAGACTGATTTCCCTTCCGTTTATACACAGACCTAAAATTCTGAACATGGCTGTAAAAACAGTATTTAATACCATTTAAAGACAACAAAAGATAAACGAAACGTAGCAGACATTTTATGTTTTTTTTTTGTTTGTTTTCCTCTCATCTTCTTAATTAGTGCTCAACAACATGAAGAAGGCCAAGAAACTGCTGAAGACAGAGCTATGACTTATGGCTCTCGCTTCATAACCTTTGACCCATGACCTCTCTGACTTTTTGTCATGTTGTAGAAAAGGAACTTCAGTGTCCTGCACTGTACGAAATGTTTGTTTACCGAAATAAAATAAAGCACTGAAAGTCTGTGTCTTTAGAGTCAAAGGATATTTCCTTTAAAGGATGATCTTATTATTGTTATTTCTTCAGTTAAGAGTCTTATGTAATCAACTCTTACTCTTGTTTTGCCTGTTTAATAAATGTTGCTCTTCTGAAAAACTGCTTGTCATTGTAAATGAGCCTTTTATGGGGTTTTATGTTCTGTGGCAGAAGAACGCAGCTCATGATCAGGTTGTTCTATGCTCCCGTTTTTGCTACATCAGTGTTTCTCAACCTGGTTCTTGGGAACCCCAAACGGGCCACTTTTTGCTCCCCCCCAGCTCCGTGCCAGACTTTTTTAGGAAAAATGTGGATTATCTAGGGGTCCCTGAAAAGCGGGTTCAGTAAACACTGCTCTAGACTACTGCTTTAGTGTGACTTTGAAGAACCAATTTAATGAAGTACTGTATTAAACTGATATAAGTATTGTGCTTCATTTAAGAAGTACATGGCTGTGTTTTGTCATTAATTTTATTGACACTGCTGTAAGCAAATGTGTTACGAGGGAGAGGCATGATAGTGATTACTTTAAATATTTCTGAAAGGACATGAGCCACAGTGGCAGAGAGAGTTCCTTGTTTGATTTTGCCCTGTGTTCTGGGTTCCTCCTTAAATCCAGTTTAGAGGCTGCTGCCTCGTGTGGGTTGCATGTGAGGCTTATGAGGAAGCGGTGAGGGGCTGACTGGTGGGACAGCCGGCTGACGGAGCGGTCTAGATAAACGGACTCCAAACAGTAGGGAGTGGAGCACTGTTTCACATCCTGTTGTGCCTAGAAGAATGCGGGCATTTTCCTTGTTTACGAAGTTGCCTAAGAGTCAATTTCTTCCAAACGAAATTTTTGTGCCCTGGCTTCAGTTGAAATTTTGACAAAACAAACTAATTAATTGTACCTCAATCTATTGAAAAGCACCCAAAGATACTGCCTAATTTTTCTGCAACTGGGTACCTGTTGTACAATCTCCACAATTCACTTGCTGTGTAGTATTAATAATATTGAAAACAAAATGGCATGTCACTGCATCCTGACCTTAAGGTCTGTGTCACATAATCGATTGTTGAATTAGACTACAGTAAACATAAAGCTACGAGCCACTGTCATACAGTCTATAGAACGTTTGTGTTCTGTATGCCTATTCCCAAAACATATTTGTCACCAGATAAAAAAGTATTATATTAACTCTACAAGAGAAATTATAAGTGAATTTGAGAAGCTTGATAATTTCAAAATACATAATTATTTCAAGATTCAGGTTAACCTTCTAGTTCTCTATAATATATTAATGAAATACAGTGGTACCTTACAGTGGTACCTTGGAACATGAGGCTGGTTGAGTTTGATTTTGGTCGAGGTGCAAGTCGAATTTCCCCATAAGAAATAATGTAAATGAATTTAGTCTGTTCCAGACCCCCAGATGATTGCCTATTTAAACATCATT